ACTTTATTTCCAATGACATTATTTCATTGGCGAATGGATTTTTTGGTTAATGTGTATATTTTTCAAATATATAAATAAATAAATTTCAGTTTTTCACATCGTTATGGCTCCTCTCTCGATGAGTTGCGCTAGGCGCAATTTATTTTCATTTTCTTCGTTTTTTAGCATTCTCTGTTTTTTGTTTGTTTGTTGGGCATTTTCGCTTTGACAATTTTGAAACTTTGTTATTGTTTAATTTCGGCGTACATTTTTTATTGTTATTACCATCGAAACCTTTTTTCTCTATGAAACAAACAAGTCGGCATAAGAATGATTTAATTTAGTCACAGTAACAAGACTTACCCAAATCAGTGTAAATACCAGAGTCCGACTTGAGTCTTGTTAATGGAGTTGCGTCGTCCATTGGCAGTTTCCCTTTACAATCAGCCGGATCTGGCTCTATTTTATGAAAGAGAATCAATATTTAATCGTAATAATGAGCAACAAAAAATCGTTTAGAATAGGTGTCTTACGAAATAGCATCGATTGGCCGTCATTATTTTCCATAATTAATTCGATATCACCAAAGAGTGAGATATCCAAACCACCTTTGCTCTCAAATTCGAAGATCTTTGACTTTATTTTTTCATGTGTATATAAAACATCACATACCGCCTTTTCAACTCTGAGGAAACGTTAAGAAAATCACAAATTTTTTCCCCTAATATGCATTTCTTTGAATTTACTTACGTTGATTTAAGCAAATTCATTGCTGATTCTTCGTTGTTGTTCATACTAAATTTGCGCAGGCATTTTCGATCGAAATGGAGGAACTGTTCACTGAGCTCTCTGTGTAATTGTGATACGCTTTTTTCCATCTTTTATCTGAGAACAAAAAAAATTTCGGGAATTTTATGCGGAAAATTCAATTGAACACGCAATGTAAACCTAACCTTAATATTCAATCCGAATGCTGCGATATATTTTGTTCCAGTTTGAAGTCCTTGATCGAGTTTTATTCGGCTTTTTTACCTTCGTCACTCAATGATTCCGTTCGTGCTGTCTTTTCGGAAGTTTTCACCAGATATAAGACATTCGTTGTTTTAACGATGACACTTGCAGTAAATTTGGCGGTTAGTTTGGCTGTAGATGTCAATATTGACTTGGTGCAGAGAATACACAAATACACGGACAGGTGATTGTATTGATGCCGGTGATCGGACAGCGAGTGAGTGAGAGTGAGAGTGAGAGTAAACGATTGATTGGAAAATACAAATGTAAAGGCGGCATTCTCTTTTCGACACGCGTACTTGTGTCTACTGTATGATGCTTTTTGTCGCAATTTAATAGAAGATGTGATGTGCTACGCACACACCGTCAAAATGAGTATGTGTAATGTAGCTTTGACCATTTTCGAATTGGTGTTGCCTTTGTTAATCTGATGGCATTGAAAAACCAAAAAAAAATTTGCTGGAAAATCTCTCATTGGATTGGCATAAAAAACAAAAAATGTAAAAACAAAGTCATATATTTTATTTATGTTTGACTTTCTGGTGTGCGATGAGACAAGGTTTTGTTGCAGAAGCATAGCTACAATGTTTACATTTGAATGGCCTAACACCAGTGTGTTTGTTTGCCATATGCGATACCAATTGATATTTTCTATAGTTATGATATCTACACAAATAACATTCATATTGTTTCCAATTACAACGTTTATCGTGTTCTTCCAAAGCCGATTTCTCTTTATATCTTTTATGGCACTTTATACATTGATTCTCATGAATTTTCATGTGCATATCGAGAAGATCTTGTTCCGTGAATTTTTTTGTGCATCTCTGACAACAAAATGGTCTATTTAGATGTGCCATCATATGTCGTTTGAAATGACTGGAGGTACCAGTTTTATAAATACATTTATCACACTTGTGAATCATTACTTTTTTATTACTTTGGCGCCTCAACTTTTTTGACGGTGGTCTTTCGCTTGCTTTTCCATTTGGTGTAGCATTAGATGTGTTATCGTCCCTTGTTTCGGCTGATTTTGTTGCATTCAATTCGCTTTTAGTTTCGGTTTTGTCGAGTTCCATCATCCGGGATTTCTTCACTGAAGCTGGAGCTGGACGTAATAATTTAGCTTGAAAGCTATTTTTGACTTCGTTTGTAATTTTTGCGGGTGTTTCTCTTTGAGTATTTTTACGCGTTGAAGTTTTCGGAGTAGCTCCTTTCAACGTAAAAAAAAAACAATTGAAATTGATTGGTGAGCTCTGCTCTGAGCAACAGTCTCCGGTGCCAACTTACTATATGTTCATAAAAGAGATACATACCTGGAATATTATTGGCGTCTGGTGCCTTTTTCGACTTTGATGGCGCTTCAGTGATTTTTTCCATTACAGTTGTCACTTTTGGTTTTTCCGGTGTTGCTTTTTTCACCTGGTCACTTGTGGTTTCTAGCGCCGTTTGTGCAGCGATAAAATCAGCATCATCGTCATCGATTAGTACAATGCTTTCATCATATGCTTCTGGTTTATTTTCGTCTTCCGATTGGCTATTGTATTCTTCAATCATCATCATGCCTTCGTCTGCTTTGGGTCTTTTAACCAAAAACGTCTGATTATTTGCATTCAAATCGCATGAAATCTTTCGTTTCTGAGCCAAACATGGTCGATCTGGTAAAAATTGGTGTTCGATCATCCTATCTACCTCACTCGATTCGAGGTCATTTCTCAGCTCTTCAAATTCCAAATTCATTTGAAATTGATCATACGTTTTAGCAACCCTATAGAACAGCAGAACAATTGATATTGAAATATTTACAATGAAACATAGATACCGGTGATAAAAATATATGAATGAATATGAGGAAAAGATACGACATGGACCGGTATAAAAGATCAACGCCTGGTAGGAGTGTCACCTTTTTACCTTCTCTCTCTCTCTCTCTCTCTCTTTATCTGTTTCCACAAATAAAACCACAAGAAAACTGTGTTAGGCGGTTGGCATCACCGCTCGCAGAGATACAATCGATAAATCATAAAATCAGCAAAAAAACAAAACGAAATTATCGTACCTGTTATAAATGATTTGCAAGAAATGATTGCGAAACTCCATATCAAATGACAGTCCCGATTGTTTAAAGTCTTCATTGACGGCTTTTAATGTGAACTTTGTCTCCCGTTCAATGACCCAAAGCATCTCCGTTACCAAATCGATCCAATCTCGCTTTGTTTGCATCGTTGTGTTTGTGAACGAAAACATCGTTGATTTAACTGGAAAAAATATCGGACATTGATCATAAGTTCATGTCAGGTACTTTTTTCTGATAAAAAACATTTTTTTTTTCGTTTCTACTCTGTTCTCAACACAATAAAATTACCTTTTTCCTTTGCTTGTCAAAATATGCACATAGATAAATTCTACTTTCAATGTCAATTCTGATCCGTCCGCTTTTTATTTCTATTTTGGTCGATTATTGTTCGTTGATTAATTAAATCTATCGATTGTCTTGATGAAAATGTTCCAATGCGAAAAATTGCGATGTAGTCAAACAGCGGTATTTTTGACGTTTGAAATAGTATCAAGTCCCAATTGGTGCGAACGCACACATTCAAACGGGTAAGAAAAAAGTCGGCACAAAACAAATGCACATCTATGCGATGCGTGAGTGACTAATACAGTGGCAAGTCAACGACAATTTACATTCGTGTACACGGTCAATATATAGATGAATTCAGTGCTCGTATGTATGCATGAATAGAAAGGAGCGAGCATACGAAAAATGCGCGTCAGAGATGTGTTCGAAAACTAATATACATCGGTGGCAATTAGACCAAAATTTGAATTTACCTGATTTACGTGTTGTTCACTTTCATCGCTTTTCTTCTTCGGTTTACCAATGTCCTGAGAGTCTTAATCGATTACAATTGTTAAAGGCACCGAAGATGCTCCGGTTAAAATCTTTTTCCACTCGATTTGGTTCATCGTCCACTCGAATAAGATTTTTTCCACTCGATTTTTTCAGATTATAGCAATACTGACAAAGGTTTGAGAATGTTTATTCTTGAAAACTCTTAAAAATGTTAGTTTTGCGATACGAACTTTCGATGCTTTTCATAAAAAAGTCCAAAAAAATGTGAATACAAAACGCAGTCATGCCTGTCGGGACTGATTTTCGAGTCAGTAAAAAGTCTCAATGACAGGTTTTTAACGAATGTCAAAATCGTAAGAATTTGTTGAAAGAAAAATTCTTATTCTGAACATTACATCGAAAAAGTAAATAAATATTTTATTTTTTTATTATTATTTTTTAATAACCCTATCATATGGATGATAATTTTTAATGAAACGATTTTAGTTTTTTTTACTAAAATTTTAAAGTAAAAATAACTAAAAAATTTCCCTTTATATTTACCGAAAACAAATTCCATAAAATTGACTATAAATTTTCAGTAAATATATCAAAAAAAAAATTCCCTTCATATTACCGAAAAAAATTCCATAAAATAAACCGATTTTTTTCAGAAATATTTACTCAAATTTAATAGTAAATTTTATGGAATTTTTTTTCGGTAATATGAAGGGAAATTTTTTAAAAATTCCCTATCAGCATATGGATGATAAAACATGTGATTTGTCTCATTTCAAAGGCATAAGAAAATACCAAAAATTGTTCAAACTTATTTTATAACTTATCTTATTAAAACAGAAAGTATCGCTGAAATTGAAGAATATGTAATCGAAAATCGTGAAATATTAGCTATATCAAGCTATGAAAATAAACATTCCTTCAAATTTTGCCCGGACATCGAAGACCTATACTTTTGTATGCCAAATTATATGAATCAACTAAAAAGACTGTGAATCAAACATCGAACAGAAAATGAATTTTTTACAATCAGACAATATATTTAGCTGCCGTCATCTGGATATTTCAGCTCATCTGGATGCCTTCAGCAGATGATGCGAAGTGAAAACAATAGAAGTGATTGTTATAGTAATACCAGCATATAACAAGCTTATATACCTATAACAATCACTTCTATTGTTTTCACTTCGTATCATCTGCTGACGATATACAGATGAGCTGTAATATCCAGATGACGACGGCTAAATACATTGTCTGAATATCCGTATTAATTAAAATGCTTCATGGAAGCCGCCCAATCGCATGTAAATTTAAGTGTCAATTCCGGAAGAGTGGGATGTCTTCACTTCAATCATTTTTTATGATTAATTTTTTATCTTTATGTATATGATGAGTGAAAAGTATTTTTTTAAGACATTAGCTTCTAATTTGCCGATCCCAAAACCAAAAACACTTAGTAAGTCCTATAAATCATCTAATAATTCGTTCGCATTTTTTTAATATCAAACAGAAAGAAATTTGAACAATAATTGCTTTGACACCGTGGAAATTGCTAAGAGAATTAATATGATTCCTTTGGATGCTAGAAAAATTATATGTCTTCGATCAAACGTTGATGATATTTGAAATTGACATTAATGATTGACTCGTGACTCGCTCTACGGGCATATATTTTGTGTGCGTTGTGTATGAAGTGTCTCATGTAGCGGTTTGTATGAAATTTTCACAAGTCAGCACCAGACATTATATTGAGATATTTTCAGCCAGATGAATCAGCTCAGCCAGATATCGTCAGGAGCTGGAATTGAGTGAAAACAATAAAAGTGATTGTTATAGTGATTGTAGCAATATAAGTGTAATTATAGCCATAACAATCACTTCTATTGTTTTCCCTCAATATCAGCTCGTGACGATATCTGGCTGAGCTGATTCATCTGGCTAAAATATCTCAGAATAATGCCTGGTCACAAAGGATGGAAGCAAACTAATTTCTTTGTTCCAACGTGAGCACCACTAACAATTTTTCTCCGAACCAAAAATACACGAGTTTGTATCGTTCACACACAGTTGACAAGATGTGATGTTATGTCAACTGCTTAGTAAATTAGTACCAAAAACATTGATAGAGGGCCAATCCCTTGAACAAAGTTCAGTACTGATTTCGAATAGGAAAGTGACATCGCTTCCACAGTATGCCTGGTCAGCACTGACTCATTATGACTCATAAGCCCCTTGGGTAACTTTCATACAACATTTAGTTTTGAACAGTCAATAGTTTTCAGCTCCCTAGGAACCCTCGTCATCACTTATGGCGCTAATTCACTTGCATACAAAAGTAAAAAAAAAGTATTCAAAATTTCGACAGTGCCAACGATTAAAAATTAGTGGAGAATTAGAGGGTGTTTTAATATCACCGAACATTGCATTAGAAAAAATTCAACCAAAAATTAAAGTAAATATAAATTCTGTTTAACTAATGACCTTATTTCCTAGGCGTCCGATTACGTCCGATTGTTATCGGATCCGATTTTTTTGAAATCGGCGAGCAAATCGGACGCCGATTATAAAGAAATTGTTCGCCGATTATGATCGGATCCGATTTTAATAATCGGTGGCCGATTGAAATCGGATCCGATTACATTCGGACGCCTAGGAAATAAGGCCTTAAGGTGAAAAAAGTTATTCTAAAAGTGATATTGTTTGCTTCTCAGAATATGGTGGCCGTATAGCAAACAAGGAACATCGAGTATGGTTCAATATTCGTGTCTGGTTCAATGCGGGAAATTGAGAAACATTCACGGATTTTCCGATAGCTCTTACTCCGGATTGGATGACTGGGTCTATTGGTTTTATGCCACAACAAATGAATGCCAACGGCGCCATCAATTTTCAAAGCATTCTGGTCAAAGTTCACACTTATAACACCACCCAGGAAAACTGATCGTTCGGCTTTGAAATTCAAAAAAATAATTCAATGAAATGTGTGTGTTCAGTACAGTGACCAATACCAATGCACGGTATTGGCACACAGTACTGAGTCGGTGTGTCGCAGCGGTCACAGAGGCAAGCGTCTCTGTAGACACACCGCACCGACACAGTTAGTTAAGTTAGTTATAAGAAAGCCGTCCGTGTACACGCTCAATAAAAATATATTCGCTTCATAAAAATAATCTGTGTAATTATTTACTGACCTCCCAAACAGTGTGATTGAAGAAAAAACTGCACTCTTTTACTTTTCCGCACAAACCTAGTGTGTAAGGTAAAGTCTTGGAATCGGTCGAAAAATTAACACCCTCAAAAAATATGCTTTCTGGGTGTTTTAGGAGCCAGGGAACACGAATCTAGCGTTTTTTCGATGTCCGAATGTATGTGCGTACCCTGTACGCAAAAATTTGTTAACACGATAACTTTCAAACAAGAAAAGTAATTCAAAATATGACTTCACAGGATGATTGAGGCTGCCGAGGAATAGAAATCACTTGATTTCGAGCGACATTGGTTGGTAGAGTTAAGTGTCATGTCTGGTGTGATGCCCATGGCTATCCATGGGAAAAATTCAATTTTTCTTCTAAAAGTGATATTAAAACCGAATATGACGTTAGTTTTGCGATACAAATAATTTTCGACGCACTTGTCATACAAAAATTTCAAAAAAAATTGTATCTTTGTATGAAAGCCCAAGGGGCAGACACGTGGAATAGGATTAGACTTTTAGCGAAAAGATTCGAGAAATTTCAATGAAATACTAGGGGGAATTATCTATACGTTTATACGGTTTATACTCAAGTATGTTTTACCGAATATACTATAAATAGATGAAGACATCGCAAGTATGCCGCATATACGCTGCATATATGCGTATAAACCATATATATACGGAGTTATTTGCAAATATTATTTGCAAATATTCTTCGGTATATACGGTTTATATTCTTATACGCAGCATATTCGTTACTTATTTTATTCGATATTTTCCCCTAGATGAAATAGCAACGTCTGTGATTGGATTCGCGTGGAATAGCGAAACAGTGCATGGAATAGCAAAAATTGTTTCACTTCAAATCCATTTGACATTTCTTTTGATGTCTATTGATGGATTAGTGGAATAGTGCGGAATACCAGGATTAGCATTTTTGACGGAAACAGTGCATGGAATAGGAAATTTTTTTTCGATTTCACATTTGTGTTTTTGGATTAGTGGAATAGCTGGATTAGTAATTTATATAGTGGATTCAGAATTTATTCTTTGGTGTCTGCTCCCTAGATGAAAGCCATGCCTGTATGATATCGTAATGAGCTGAAACTTAACACAGGATTTTTTTTTCACACAAAAATAACATTCCGAGGGTTTGAAGAGATTTCAATGCATAATAAAGGTACCTCCCAAACAATTTTTTTTTTGCTCAAAAGCAAAATTTTGTATAGGAAGTACCTTTAATATTCATTGAAATTTCTTCAAACTTTCAGAATGTTAGCTTTTTCTTTCTGTGCAAAAAATAACCTCTGTAAATTTTCACATGGAAAGCCGAATATTGCGTTAAACATATATTTTGCTACATGCTACGACAACGCCATCTCTGTTTCCCCATGTGTGTAGAGTATGTTCAATTGTTCAATATTGACAAATCATTCAAGCGGGTCAATTTTGTACCGCAGAAATAGCTGTCATCGTGAAAATATGTCAACAATATTATTCATTTTGAAATTGATTGTGCCGTGTTTATTTTTTAAAACAATTTTCAAATGCATATTTCTGTAAATCTCATTTCAACGTTTTGAAATATTTGTACAATTCTACATGAATAATATTTTAATTTTTTTAAACTGAAGTGAAATTTTCAGCATAGAAACAGCTTCTGCTGCAAGACCAAAGATGTCGTTTTCGGGGGAGATTCGTGTGACGTTTTCATAAAAAACATATAGCGCATTACTCGGTTACACATGGATACGATATCATATAAAATTCACATTTTTAGTAGCTTTTGTATAAAAAGTGTGTCGAAAATTATTTTTATCGCAAAAGTAATGTCAGATTTAGTTTTCTCTTGAATTCAAATTCATTCTTTTTGTTCAAATAATCATTTATTTAATACTGTTTTCCTCTCTAGAGGTTCACTTTGGAGTGTTCCATTTCATTCACAAATTTGCCAATTAAATTGTTTGTATCGTCAATTTTACATTCTTTTTTCTTGCAACATAAAGTTACTTTTGTCGAATTTTCGAACAAGACTCTGTTATGTGCCTTCTGAGACTGTTTTTTTGTGTGAAACATTCGTTGCAATGTTGGCATATGTATGGTTTATCTCCAGTATGTGTTCGTTCGTGATTCTTCATCTTCGTCAGATCCAAATGGAAATACCCACATTTCATTTCGCATTCATATCTAGAAAAGAATGGAAAAAAATCGAAATGGAAATTAATCGATAGGTAATGGAACAGAATGTAAAATGAAATGTTTGTTATTGAATTGTGTTGCGAATAAAAAATGTTTCGCATTCATACTTTTTGTGACATTTACGTTTTTTCTCATGTTCATCGGCATCGCTTTGGTTTTTGAATCCCCGCTCGCATGTTGAACAATGGAATGAAAATTCTTCGTGGTGTTTATCCGTCTGGTGGCGCCATAAGCTGTCTCTCCTTGCATAATAATTAAAACAAAATTCACATTGGATTCGTTGTCCATCATCACTATCTCTTCTCTCTATGGTAAACAATGAAAGAAACAAGCCGACATGAGAATTTATTCAATTAGCTGTACACATTTGGTACAATGTTACATACCCAAATCACAGTCAATGCCCGAGTCAGATCTTTCTCTTGGCAACGGTACTGCATCGTCCATTGAAGTTGTTATCTTACGTTTACGACCTCTACCCGATGAAGACAACACCGGTACATTCGACAAGGCCTCAGCTGGAATTGGCTCCATAATTGCTGTTTGTAAGAGAAGGTATGTCAAGGTATGTTATGAAATAGAAACCAGCACTGCGCAGAAAGAAAAAAATACGGTATATTTCAGGTTACTTACATTTCAGTGTGGTTTTATTTTCACCAACTTCGTCATGATTCTGTTTTCCAATTGGTTCATTAGAAATCCAATAAAAATTGCATTTGAATTCAATAGTTCTCTCTTGCGTTTGCCGTTTTCTTTCGTTGACCCCGATGACCGACTTACAAATCTTCTTTGCTTCTTCAAGTCTAATGGCATATTTAATAAAATTAGCGAATGTCAATGTTTATTTTCCAGTTTTGTCACACTGAATTTACTTACGTGGATTCGTACAAATCATTTACAAGTTTCGATTTATCGATGCCATTGTTGTTCTTGCAAATTATCATATGTTCTCGATCGAAATTGTAAACATTTTTACTGAGTTCTTTCTGCAACTTTGATGCGTTCATGTTCATCTGAAACCAAGGATTTTTCGTGAATTAATTTTTTTTTCGTGGAAAAATTCAATGGACTTCACTCAATTGAACAAACAAAGTAAACCTAACCTTAATATTTAATCCGAACTGTAATTTTGTTAAAGTTGAGAGTCCTTAATCGACTTATATAGGGCTTTTCACGTCGTCACTCAATGAATTTCGTTGGTACTCTTGCTTAACTCTTGATTTTTTTGATAATTCCCAATTGATTTTTTTTTTGACAATTAATTGTATTTTTGCACAGTCGGTGGTACTTGCAGTAAATTTGGCGCGTCGTTTTGCGGTTGTAGCTGTCACTGTGACTTTTTTTTCAGTAGCCTCGTACAGAGTGCATACAAACATACAGTCAGCTGATTGTGTTGATGCTTCGCACACATAGACAAATGGAGCATAAAAAGTGTGACGTCATTTTCGAATTGGTGTTGTAGCTGTTTGTACAATCGTAAATCTCATCGAATTGGAAGAGAGAAGAGATTTGATCGATTCTATTGTTAATATAATTCCAACTATTTTACTTTCATTGGAACAAATTTTACTGAGATTGGCACAGTCACTTTGTGCAGTTGATTTGTTTTGATGGAAATGATACTTGGTGCAATATGCGAATAAGATAAAGTTGGTTATCGATTTCATCACCGTCAAAAGTGACCATTCATAGTGGATTTATGGAAACAAATCGGTCTTCTTTTGATAACATTTTCGATTTTGTCCAAGTGATCATCATGATATCTTTTTTCAATATTACTTTACCTAGCCTTAAACATTTCCGTGGTTGTTTTTCACATCGTCGATGTTTTCTCCATTTTCGGTTATTTAAATTAATTGGAATGAAATAAATTAAATCTATCGTGATTAAATCAGAATATGGTTTCGATGACTAGAGTTACATTGTGCTCAAGTTACTTTCAAATTGATCTACTTTCGGACAGCTTTATGCACAGTTTCAAGATGCTTCTCAAGATTGCCACTAAATTTGGTAGTGAAGTCGCAATTATCACATTTGAATGGCTTTTCACCCGTGTGTGTTCTCTTGTGTACTGTTAATCCATATTTGTCCCAAGCTTTATGTTCACATACATCACATTCTAACCATGGGCTACATTTACGCTCTTTTTCATGTTCATCGGTGTCGCTTTGGCTGTTAAATCCCCGCTCGCATATTGAACAACGGAATGGGTGTTTCTCAAAATGTTTTTTCAACTGATGATAGAATAAGTACTTCTGGCTTGCAAAATGACACGAACAAAATTCACACTGGAATGCTTGGCCGTCAACACTTTCGCTTCTCTCTATGGGAAATAAGTCGACATGAGACATCAATTGGTAAAATATTGACGCAAAACAACATATAACTTACTTTGTCTTTTGTCTTTCGGCGGCACTGTATCATCTATTCAATTGAAATGGTACAATGGAATCACATGAAATGTCATATTTTATATTGTTCAACCAATCTAACTCACCTAAATCACTGTAAACACCTGAATCAACAATAGCATCGTCCATGGACCGTGTGTGAAAATTTTCTCGCTTACGCTTGTGACTGAATGTAGGCAATGAAGTCAACACCTTTTGATCGATCTTTAGTGAATCTGACCACACCTGGTCTGGAACAGCATTATCAGTCGCTGTTTAAAAGATAATGCCACATAATCGAATTTTTGTATTTAAAAAAAATGCATTGGAAATTAGTGAATTGTCTTACATTTTGGTGTCGATTTATTTCCATCAATTTCATCATCCCCAGCAATTGGCTGCGCATTTTGAGACATGCGCCACATTCCATAATCGATTTCCAAAAAAATATTTCCGTTGATGTCATTGACTACGGCCTTCACTTTGGGCTCTACATTTGGAATCTTCATATCGATCAGTGATTCTTCAATTCTGAAGAATAGACAAAAAAATTGTTAATTTTTCTCCCAATCTGATCACTTTCAGTCTACTCACGTTTTGGATACCAAATTCTTTTCAAGCGTCAATTTCTCTGCGCTGTTGTTATTCGTGCAAATTTTCATGTATTCGCGATCAAAATTGAGAAACCGTTTACAAAGTTCTCTGGACAATTGTGATGCGCTCATCTCCATTTTTGATCTGAAAATAAAGAATTTTCGTGAATTTCATGCCGACAATTCAATGGACTTTGTTGAACACTCAAAGACAACCTAACCTTCTTTATACCTCTCGTGACGTAACGAAACCGGCTAGTTTTGTTGGTTTATCTCTTGATTTCTTTACAATATTCAACTGATAGACGACAATTTATCGTTTTTATTTGCACCGAAAATATAGATGACACAGAAAACTTGCAGTAAATTTGGTGGGTAGTTTTATTGTTGTCATTTTGTGACATTTTTTATGATGATTATGGTATAGAGTGTATACAAATACAGTCAGCTGATTGTGATAGCGGTGAATAAGCGAGAGTGAGTGAGAGTAAGAGTTTGACTCGAACAAACAATACAAATACAAAGTTGGTGTTCGCCACACATACTTGCTCGCTGCGATTTGATGCTTACGCATTTCAATAGGGCTCACGCACACACCAGAAAATCAAGTATGACATAGCGTAGGTCATTGGTTCGAATTGGTGTTGTATGCCATTAACTTTAATCGAAAATATCGTGATACATGCTGTGAAGTGGGCTTGTCCAATTTCGTTTCTCTCTGGGAGTTTTTTGCTAATGCTATAATGTTTAAATTTCAATGCCATAATTGGACATTTTAATGGTTTTTTACTTCAAAAACACAAATTATGAACACATTGTGAAGCCACAATTTCCAAATTTTGTTTTACTTCGGTAACACTGTTACTATAATTTGAAATTAATGTGTGTTCCAATTTGTCTGCGTTCATAATTTGAATCTTTGAAGCGAAAATCCACAAAAATGTCAAACTATGACGTTGGCAAACAAATTTCTAAAGAGATTGGCAAAATCATCGTAAAAAAATGCCTAACAATTATATCTCTTGGTATTTTAAATTTGCATGCACAGCTGATTTTTTTGTTTATTTAAATTTTGAACATCAATTCCCCACCATTTGTTCTCTGCTCGTAATAAATGTTATTTACTTACCCGAATGAAAAAAAAGCAGTGACTGACTAATTACTGTAAGTGACTACAGCTGACAAAATTCATTAAATTTAAACACTACGTTCAGAACATTTATATGGATAACAACTGACTATAGTTACAGACTGTCTAAGTATTAGTCGATTTATATTGGGACACTTTGGCCATCACTTGAATACCAATTATTTTTGGCTGCTATAGTTAACTCTACAGCTAAATTTGAATAACTAATTAAAGTTGTCTATTTTATCAGTCAATTTATTCTAAAATAGTCACTTTTTTGCATACGGGTACTCATTTATAGCTCTATTTGAAATTATAAACAATTGAATGAGAATCAATAGTGTTACAACAGAAACTAAATCTCAAAGACCAGCAAGTTGAATCTCTCATGCTTAAATAAAACGGGAACTTCAAGTAGTTTTTTTCGCAAAATGTGCAAATCTCATTATAAACGCAAAGGTTTCAAAGTTTATCGAAGCACATGTCAGTAGTGATTACTTATAATCAGACCAATAAAAAGTAGTGTCGCTTATCTGGTGTGGAAATCCGACTGTCTTATGAACATTCAAAATCAATAGCATCTTCATTGACGTAGTAATCGGATTTTTCTTCGATAGAAATGTCATGCAATCATCGCAAAACTATTATAAATATAGAATGTTTTGAAGTGAATCAAATCAGTTTAATTCAATAGTTGAATTAACGTCTTTTTAGTAAGCTCCGTGAAAATAAATAGTGAATAAAGATGCAAAAAATATTTCGTACAATATTGCTGACGTTGGCAATTTCACACGTTTTGGCTGATATTCCATTGGATGACATTCCATTTAATATTTACGAATCATCCTCAACATCATTTGAGGACGCTGTAAGAAAGAAGATTGATAAGGCAATAAGTGAAGTAAAAGTGTTTTCGGATGCAGCTAAAGTGGGTTCGATCATTCCATATATCGATACAGTAATGGGACCAATATCGGATGGTTTAGAGACGTTACAAAGTAACATTTGGGAGGAAACATTGATCAAGGCCATCGCCGAAGAGTCACGTCGCATGTTAATCGACCATACTTACACGGATATAAGATCGCATTGTATATCAGTTTCACAAGGTTTGGAGACATTGAGCCGTGGCTTAAATTTTCAGCCTCTGAAAAATCATCTCAAGTACAAATATTTTATGAAAAATTGAAAGACATCAACAATATTTTCGTCCAAAAGAGTTCGATATTCTGAAAATATCCAGAATTTGCATACGTGCCACTCACAATGCTTGCATCGATTACGGCTATTTTGGACCCAATATTTCAAGAATTTTCACCATCAGTGAGTCAAAATTCATTTATGTCATGCCAATTACAATATTCAATTTTTTTGTTATATGAACTGATACATCTATTTAGTAATTGATTTTTCACTCAATTTATTTTTGTTCTTATATACAGAGGGTGTTAAAGGCAAAAACGATATAAATAATAAAATGATTTATATCGTTACATTGCGTGATTATGAAAGAGATATGGTTACAATCGAACAAATAAGAATGCTATCGATTGCATGGTAGGCTGTTATTTTTACAGCGGTATCGCATCTGTACGTGACCCAGTGGCTGGTACACGATATTGTGCATTTGCGAGTGGTCCTGATGTAGAGAATTGTATCGTTGGCTATGCTGAACTTCTAAGATCTCGAATCGAAAACGCTTATCGCGATTCAATTGAACTAATAACCTCGAGATGTAATCAAGATGTCATGAATCGACGTAGACCCACCGGTAAAATATCTCTTTTTTTAATATAAATTGCAATTCTTTATATTCATTGTTTGTTCTTTGTTTGCAGGATATGGATACTGGAGCGTTAATTTAATTGGAATGGAGGGTCAAACAAAAAGAAATTCCGATATCTCGTGTGATCCAGATCTCTTCAGCAAAGGTCCATTTACCTATTGTGATCTGTACTCTCAAATTTATATAAACGACAATCTGGTTTTCACAAGTTCGAAAGGAAGCAATGAAAATGAGCACTATACTAACGAGAAATTTATGTCGTCAAAAATTAAGGACGATTCTATTATACGGTTTGAGCTTTGGGACGCAGATGCGAGAGATGATGACATTTGTCTTCAAGTGACGAAAAATCTTAACGAAGTGAAACATTTTCGCGGTAAAATACAAGAGGGAAACAATTTCATTGTTTTATCAACATTTTGGAGACGCAGCTACGTAGATGATGGACAAATTTCATAAGATCGAAAATACGCAATTTATTTTGTGTTTCAATTCACAGTTTACACAACAAAAACATTTTATGCCCAAAAGTGGAATTCATTCGTATATGATGATAAAAAAACATTCAAAGTCTTTAAATGAATTATCCAAAAGTAAAAATAAAGTAAAGAAATGATTAAATGATTATTATCTAATAAGATAAAATTGAATAAAATTAAGTTTTTTTCTCTGTTGAGTGATTATTTGCTATAAAATTGACAAAAAAGAAATATACCTCATCTGCTGAAACTTAAAAAAAATATTCAATTTTTTTCTACAATTTTTTATTCAAGAAAATTCTCTGTTTATTTAGATTTTGAACATGAATTCCGCACCACTTGTTTCTATTCCGTGTAATGCGTCGTATGTACTAGTAAAGATCTGTTGCAGGCTGTGGGCAATTGTTTGTTTTAGTAGTTAATTGTTTCACGTAGTTTTTTTGCCAATAATTCGGTCGAAGTGTTTTGCTTACTGCTACTTATATCATTGTTATTTGAATGAACACTTGAATAAATATAGAAAAATGCTGTGTGATCTTATCTGCTCGTAATAAATGTTATTTACTTACCCGAATGAAAGAAAAAAACAGCGACTGATTAATTACTGTAAGTGACTACAGCTGATAAAATTCATTAAATTTGCATGGAAAACAATTGACTATGGTTACTGACTGACTAATTACTAGCCGATTATTTTGAAGCACTTTGACCATCACTTGAATATTAATTTTACTTCGCTGCTATCGTTAACTCTACAGCTCTTTATTTCTCAAGGGCAAAGTATTGTTCAGCGATGCTGCCATCCACAGCATATGAAAATATCTTGCTGAGAATGCGTCGTCCGTCGCATGCGAAGGTACGTAGCAGTTTTTACGTACATTCGCATGCGACAGACAACGCATTTTCAGCATGATATTTTCATATGCTGTGGATGGCAGCAGCGCTGATCAATACTCTGATCAAAGGTACTCAATACTCATTTATTGCTTCGATTATTTGAAGTTGATTGAACAGTATTGTTTCAGTGTTTGAATAGATCGGTTTGAATGCGCATTACCTTAAATTCCACTTTAAAATTTTGTGCCGATTAAGTTAAAAAATGTTTCGAATTTACGCACTATTCTTGTGTCTTACTGTTTCTTTTTCACTGTCGAATAGCCAAGATGTATATAAAACGGTTTCGACAAAAAGTGGAATGGTTCGCGGTTTGGTGGATAAAACTTTGTTACGTCGAATGACATTCGTTTCGTATAAAGGGATCCCTTATGCCAAACCACCAATTGGTGAACTTCGATTCAAAGTAAAAAAAATATGATAAAATATTTCATCACGTTCTTATCTTATCAAATAACAATTATTTCAAGGCTCCTGAACCGGTTGAGCCATGGTCGAATGTGCTAAATACATTTCAACATGGAAATAAATGTCCGCAAATCTCTTCGATCTTACCAGCGACTAGTGAGAATTGTTTATTTTTGAATATCTACACACCGGGTAAGTGATGAGCTGAATTTTTCTGAAAATCTAATCGAAAACAAAAGCATCATCAACTGAAATATGTAAATTTCCAGTTGTAAATGTTACAAAAAAGGTTCCGGTATTAGTTTATATACATGGTGGTTTGTTTGTCATGGGATCTGGAAACGATGGATGGTTTGGACCGGATTTTTTTATCGAAAGTGAAATAATTCTGGTGACTATGAATTATCGACTTGGAATATTGGGATTCATGTCATTAGGAACAGAAGAATACTCGGGCAATATGGGCATGAAAGATCAACAATTGGCATTGAAATGGATTTATGAGAATATTGAACGATTTGGCGGTGACAATGAACAAATCACAATTTCTGGCCAGAGTGCAGGTGGGTTTTATGTTCAATTTTTTCCCGACATTTAAACGATGAAATAACTAAGGAAAATATCCACTAAGGGTCCAAATCTCTCGGTTTTCATTTGGTGAACGAACAATCGTCAATGTATTTTAATCAAATGATTTCAATGAGTGGAACATCAAATACGGCATACAGCTATCAAAGCGGCGATCATCGATGTTTAATGCAGATTTTTGCCAATAAATATTCGCCAAAGTGTTTGAATAACGATGACGAATTGATTGAATTTCTGAAAAGTGTGCCAGTGAGTAAGATCATTGAATTTACCACAGAAACTGTTGAAGGACTGCAGTCACCATGGAATCCAGTCATCGAAAGTTTGTATTTTTTTTTGTGTGGTGTTTCTTGAACAATTGAAAAATAACACATCATTCTTAATTATTTTTGAATTATACTTGCTTTTTTAACGATTATAGAAAGTAACTCCATTCGTCCATTCCTTCGTGAAGACATAAATGTAAAACTGCAAACAACTACCATTAATAAAAATGCTTACTTCACTTTTACTCCATATGTACGTAATTCAATAGACTTTGACTCGAACCAACCGAATGCTGCTGTTTATAGTGGCTGTCTATGTTGCTGTCCTGTTCTAATAGGACAGTGTCCTGTGTATATGCGGCAAAGTGATATACTTATCTCCATTTTGAACGAGAGATAAAGAACAGAAACTTTGAACTGCGTTGGACATTTAAACCCGTCTCTCCCTTTTTCACTCTAATTTATTGTTGAATACAATCTAAAAGCAGTAGCAGCAAAGTTGGCTCGAGTCAAAGCCTGCAAATCACTTTAAGATGTGAGTTTCTAAAGCAGTCTCCAAATGAAGCAAATACCACCTAGTGTGGTAAAGGTATTTCCATTCAATTGAAGCCATTTATAGGGCCGCTTCTACTGAGTAGCACTAAAAAGCTTCACATTGAGCTTTTGTCATGAAAAAATTTCATTTATCAAAATTACACCGTATCGGTTGCTCTCTCATCCAAATGTCTTTGAAACTCACATTACAATTAATAATAATTTTATCCAAAAATTAACTCAAAAGGAGGAGCTACTTTTTACATTTGGCAAAAATTATACCAATGCAAATGTTATTGATGCTTATTTGGCGAATTTTTCTATTGATTTACCGATACATGGATATAGTTCGTCGATGTCGAGGAAAGTAAGTCAATGTCTTCTTCCAAAAGTGTCTTCCTTTCAATCTTTTTCATTTCCTTACAAAATTCATAAATACCAACAGCCATATCTGAACGGTTTGATGAATCAAATCCGTGACTTTTATTTTGGCGAAGCAAGTACCGATCTGAAACGTTTAGAACAGCGACTTATTATGGATTCAGATCTTCACTACATTTACTTTATTGAAAAATGGATCCAAGGACATGTGGCTGCTTCACAGAAAAACACCTTTTACCACAGGTTTTATTATGAATAGTTTTCTCGCATACGCATTTTAATTTGAACTAACCATTTTACAGAGACTATTTCTCAGAACAATTTATGTGAAGTGGAGCACTCGAAGGATTGAATATCAATTCTATTGAGTTTTTTAAATTTTTAATATTTTTCTCTTCACTAAGGAGAGCTCTGCTCCTGAGAGCTCCTACAATGCTCCTCCTCACATGTATTGCTCTAAGAAACAGTTAATGGAATTTTGTAAAATCCATAGATTTTCCGTGGTTACTCCATTGAATCCACATATCGAATTCCAAGGCGCGAGTCACACAGATGATCTGTGTTATGTATTCAAATGTAGGCGATTTGATTTACTTTACAAGGGAACCGAACTAACAAAGAACATTTCAAAATATAACCAAAAAATCTCTAATGCTATGGAAAATATGATGAAATTATTTTCAAATTTTATCAAATACGGGTGAGTTCATATCTTTTAAATTCATTTTGTAAATAATGCTTTAGCAGGGGTCGAATTTGATCTTCTTTTTTTTTAAATCACAGAAATCCAACGATTTATGGTAATCCGATTGAAGAGTTTAAACCAGTCCAAGTGAACGAACTCAATTTTGTGGACGTTACATTGGATGACGGACTGATTTCGGGTGTATCACCGAACGGAAATCGTACACAATTTCTTGATTACATTGTCGAAGAAACGAAACGGCTGGTTGAAGAAAATGGTGATTCACCAAAAGATACACTTATTCAACAACAGTGCAAGGTTTTGGGGAAAACTTTAAAAAGGCAATGCTAATAAATTCCAAAGAAAACTCGATCGAGCTTAAGATGAATTTCAAGCGAATTGCCTCAATTTTTGTTTATTTTAGTCATGTGGGAATAAAAACCATTTGTTGACAAATATTTCATTAATCGTGTTATTATTCTCATTCAAATTGCTTGATCAAATTTTTGTCTAAATTTGGGCGTTATCTACGTTTCTTACTCCGAAAAAAGATTCAAATGAATTCACTTCCATTAACCGTGATTCAAAAGTCGGATACGTCTGATGCCAGGGGCTTGAGGGGCTAGGGGTTTTCATGTAAGATTTTCTTTCACGAATTCGACGAATAAACAACAGTATAACAAATAATACAAATTTTTACAAATCATGCAAATCTTTACCGATTTCACTATTTTGTGCCAAAAATCCACCGATATTCGCCGATATGCGAAGTGACTTTGTTCTGGAAGTGGGCTTTGGTGGATCCTCAGGATCGTTCAGAACCGCTCCCAGGTCTGGAAGTGGACCCTCAGGATGGGTCAGGGCATTGTCAAATCATGGTCTGGTCCATCCAGAGGATCCACCAAAACCCACTTCCAGAACAATTATTTATCAAAAAATATCCGAATATTAACGATATTTTACAGATATGCCGATCTTTCACCGATATGCCAATATTTCACCGATATGCTAATACGCAACGATAATACGCAAATATCATCGAATAAAAATACATGCAAACCCCTAGATGAGGGGTCAGATCAGATGTGAGGAAATTCTGGAAAGAAATTGGTCTATTCGAAAGTGAAGACACTTTTCCATCAGGTCTTAATTTTACTTAGATTACTAAAATTCTCCGGAGAAAGGTTTTTCAAATTAGTTCTTTGACGAGAAAAATTCTTTCGATCTAGGGTTTTTGTGACGAAAAAGTGATGAACTTTTTTATCTCATCAATTTATTTGTAGGACCAAATCACCCCACCATATTTTGGAAGTTTCTGGAGTTAGCGCCTTTACTTGGATCGCCACCGTCAGAAGCTATGCCCATGGATTGCCAACACTCTGTTATCATTCATTATCCATTCGGGTGATTGACGTATAATTGTGGTCGTACTGTAATACAAATGTTTTTTTCTTCCCAAGCACTCAAATAGCTCCATTCGTCCGGAGTTTTTGCACCGTGAGAAAGTTACGAAAACATGAAATAGAATACGGAGCGAGATACGAAGAAATACAAGTACATGTTTTTTCATCTGTGTTCTATATAGCATAGCACCCTTTGCTAACATGTATGCCAACATACGTATACAGACATATTACATGTCTCAATCCATATTTTGTTTCGTGTTTTCGTAACTGACGCGCGGTGCAAAAAACCCGGGTTTTTTCGTTCATTTGAATTTATTTCAACAATTTGGTTAAAATTAATTTAAATTCATTCACATGAACTATATGTCATGTGTTTGCAAGACGACATTCTAAGAATTTAGTTTATTTGTTATTTGCAGTTTTTTTATGTAGTTTTTACAATCGTTTCTATTTATATTTTCGTTTCGAGCATTATGAGATCATTTTGAGGGAAATATAGTCATTTCCAAAAAGATCTGTGTTGTCAAACTAATACAATGAATTTCGGAACGCATTTCCATTCAAAAGTACACAAGGCTCCTTAGTTAAACGTGTCAATTTGGTTTGAATTTTGTTGAGGGTATGTTGTTTGTTCAAAATTTTGACAGTTCGCTGTAACAGATCTTATTGAAAACGACTATACAATTCGCAGAATTAAGTAATACACAACCAGTTTACAAAAAAATAAACCTCACTGTCTCATGGGGTCATGCACGCTAGTGAGTACTAGAAAAACTAATAAAAAACTACCACAACAATGACATCACAAACGAACTCAACTTCACACCAATAGCAGTACAATTTGTATCAAAGCATGGATATGATGACAGCTCTTCCAATAGCTGTCAAATTCAAGTTTGTTGATATTGAAAAAAAAAAATAAGAATATTAGTTTCGCTAACCATCGGGCAAACTGTTCTCAATCTTTGATTTGTACGAAAAACTACTGAGATCCCATTGGAAATGCTAGAAAAATACTAGCAAAAGAACTACACTAGAATTCCGTGAATCTCCCCAAATAAATAATTACGACATTGTGAGTATTTACGTCGTTTATTTTGTTATTGCATCATTTTATTGGGTAAAAAGACTTGAAATCTACTGCGAAAATAAATTGAATAAATAATTCGTTTTATATGAAAAGCAATCAATCAGTGGCGTATTATCAAAATAAATTTACTAAAGTTAATGTCAGACTACAGTTCATCTCAGTGTCATTCTATCGTAATATTTGATGTAAAAAGAAATTCCTGCACGAGCTGTACGTGGTATCGGCTTAAAAGGATTGATTTGATTCATTTCAAAATCCTTTGATTTCAATAAGTTTTGCATAAATAAAGTGTTTGTCAAAATGTAAATGGTTCTATATCACCTCGATACAGCCTCGATCAACCACATAGATAGGAGAAATCGTATCAAATCTAAGGCAACACCACATTTGACTGATTTCACACATTGGAACTTCGCAAGTATGACATCACTTCATATTTACATATTTTTTGTCTCTTCTGTCATGCATTCATGCAAGCTTAAATATATAAAACAGATGTGCACATATTATAAAATATGTCAAAATGTCATTCAACGTGGACTTTGATGTCATCAATTTTTCAATTGTGTGTGTTCTGTTTATTTTCGTTTGAATATGAGTGCGTAATACTGCGTACTAGAAAAACAAAACGTAATAAAACGAAGTACGAGCTATAAAATTCGTTCTAGAACTAGAATACCGTCGTTTTGTTGGCTCAGTGTTAAAACTGTGGTTCATAATGAAGCATTACATTTTGTTTGGGACTTTTTTACTTTTTGTTAAAACGGTAAACCATTGTAATATAATAAAAGTTACAAATTTATTCAACACAATTATTAAGAGTCTATCAAAAATGGCTATTTTTAGACATGTTTACATTATTTTCAAAGATAATTTTGTGTTTTTTTCTCAATGGCAATGAGAATTTTTAAAAACAAAATATTTGCGCTATAAATGTGAATTTTGTTTGTCTTTTAATAGGTTCGATCAGATCCCGTTAGTCAGGTAACATCGTCGTTTCTCTTCTTTTGCATTTCGTGAATTTAATTTACAAAATTGATTTTGTTCTATTCAAATTTCACTATAACGACGATTTGATTGTGTTATCATCAGATGTCTTATAATAATTTCGCCAACCAGGTAAGTTTTTTTTTCAATATCTACCGTTCAAAAGTGTTTATTCACTGCACGATATTCTTCGACTTTGTATTTCGTTTTGAAATTGAAGAGCAAAAAGAGTTCATATTTTGTTTTGGGGGGAGATAGATCTCGGAAAAATTTAAGGATCCCTCCTCCATGTCCATTTGCATGAAAAAATGCCAAAATTCAATTTATTAAATGTTATAGAGGTAAAACCTCAATTTGTATATTCACTTTGAACGACAATGTACTTACATATTATCGCTTCTGAGCAGTCAATATATTAGTTTTCAGCTATTTTCAATACACTCTTCTCATTGGGTAGATTTCATAACTCGTGTGCTTCCGCTATATCCATAGCTAAAAAGTATAGCTATTGACTGCTTTTGAGTGAATCATTTTAAAACCAACTTGTTTATCTGAAATTGTTCTATCGACGCTTTATTGTTTATGTGTATTTATTAGATTGTGATTGTTTTATCATTTAAATAGATCCGGCAGCATGTATCTGCGCAAATAAACCGCGCGCTATCGCAAAATCCAATGGTAACTTGACTACAAATAACCGACAAAGTACACACTCTCTCTCTCTGAAAACCCGTTCTTCCATTTAAAATGCATATTGTACACAGAAAGAAAATATCAGCCGACGCTATACGCAAAACCGACTGGTACGTGCGCTCATACGTTTTTACATCTTTTACATCTATTACCATACGATTTTTCGACTGTGCGAAGATACGCACAAAGAGTAACGAATCAGTCGACAAATCGTATGGTCACTAGATGTAAAAGATGTAAAAACGTCTTAGCGCACGTACTAGTCGGTTTTGCGTGTAGCGGTTTAATATTCTTTGAAGAGAGACAGAGACAGAGAGAGAGAGTGTGTACCTGTTCACTTACAAAAATTCTTTTATTCATCATGAATTGTTACTTGTTCCTATCAAAATAGTACCAACAGTCATTTTATCCAATGGTAAGACCAAAAAATTATTATTTTTTTCACTGAAATGAGTCGTTTTTTGTATTATTAACTCTTCTAGTTTTAAATACATTTCACAAACTTGGTGTGTGGAACATAAAAACTCATCTTTTATCTAGTTTATTCAAGTCTTCATTTTTTTTCTCTCTAATTTTACAAAGTTCAATCCCCAACCGGCAGGAGGTCAGCAAAGGAGCCAAAACTATGGTGGTGGACAATCTTCTCCTCAAATTGGAAGCTTTTCTAACGTGGACCCATCAAACAGATTCCAACAAAATGTTGTAATAGGCTCATTCTCGAATGTCGGTCCAGATAATACTATTGATTCAAATACTAGAATCGATAACTATGTAACAATGGGCTCATCAAATAAAGTTCAACCGGATTGTCGCATTGGAAGTTATGCGTCAATTGGTGATCGTAATTTCATTGGTTGCAATACAATTATTGAAGGTTTTACTAGCATTGCTAATGACAACAACATTGGTGCACAGTGTAAGGTTTTGTCGTATGCATCGATTCAGAATCATGTAACAATTGAAAATGATGCAAAGCTATGTGATTACTCAACGGTGTTTAATAACGCTAAAATTAGTATGGGCTCAGTATTAGATCGTTATTCAAAATTGAGTTCTGGTGCTAAATTGGATCCATATGTTTACCTCGGTCAATATAGTTCGGTTGATGGAAACATACCGAATTCGGTTGTCATACATGAATATGTTACCATACCAAGAGACTCAGTCATCGTACCTCGTGAAGTTATAATTCGTTCACCATCATCACTTCAATTATATCAACAGTGTGCTTCGCTTAAGGATATCCCATCGAATTAGTAAGGATCTTTGTATTACGGTGCTTGACTTATTCATCAATTGACGTTCCATTTACTTGCAGTCTTCTCAACGTTGACGCATCATTAAACCAATTGATTGATGAACAGATTAACGAGTTTCGGAATAACTGCGGACAGAGAACGTTTGACAAATTGGCATTTATCAAAAGTCTTTATTTGATTAAATACCATGGCTTGGAGACGTGAGTTTACATATTTGACATGGTGGAAAAAAGTGAAATGTTCACCCAATTTATTTTGTTATAGGTTTAAACGATACGAACCACAAGTCAAATTTCCAAACGATTTCAATATGGGAACGTAAGTTTCGGACAAAAATGAAGCATGAAATCAAGCATGACCACAGAAGCGAGTAGTCAGGAACCTCTACTGAGATTGTGTCATAGCACAGTAATTATTACAAAAGCTCGTACATAGCGAGGTGTATTTTGTGAATGATGATTTCATGCTCTCGACAATTTTTTACCTTTTCTTTTGAACTTAATAAACAGACATTTTGAATACACTTTTAGAAATTGCTCGCCAACTGCAGTTTTGTACCAAAATCTTGAAAATGAAACTCATTTTGGTCCAAATGCAAGTAAAGATATGTAAGTACCACCTCAAACTGTTGTCATTTTGTAGAGTAAGGGAATTACAATGTTTTTTTATTTGGTTTTAATTTTCAGATTGGGATCCGATTGGACACAAAAAATGGTGAAAGTGCTTGTAATCGAACAAGACAGTAGGCGCAGAGAACGATGTGTAGGTGATGACCGATGCGATATGATACGTGAAATTCTAAATGACCAGAGAAAAGTTACATGTGCCAAACGAAATTTGAGTGTGTTTTGCACTGGAAATTACAATAGTTTCTAGTTTTGACCAGATTTGAAAGCACCTTCGAATAAGATCAGTCACGCATATTGTTCAACCCGATAGACCATGAATACGACCATATTATAACATACTATGGAATTATCACTCATTGAATTTGAACTTTTGAATTATTTTTTTTAATAAAGTATAACTTTTTGGAATTGAAATTGGTTTAAATTTGATTAATTTGTGATTTTTTGAATTATTTACAAGACGGTCAACTGTTTTATTGAAGATTGAAAAATTGGTAGAAAAGATCCTGGTGAGGGAAAATTTCCACTCTTTTCCAAGCTAAAAACATTGTACTATCATCCTGCGATAGGTAGACATTAAAACCTTAATAATAAATTTTAAATAATGTGACACCTGACATGGTGCTTTTTCCCTTACCGCATAATGTAATATCGCTATTTTATGAGTTTTGTGGTTTTTATTTGCATTTTCGTACAAAAAGCATAGCAATGAAGCCTGAAGCAACGAAGAGTTGGATTGTCATGAAACGTTGTTTGAAAGTAATTCGCAAGGTTAGTAATATTATAGGTTATAGCTATCGAAAATATCGATAGGAGAGTATGTTTTTCGGAATTGTAGTACGATAAACGAGAGCATGTTTTTTCATGGTAAAAAATGGTTAAAGGAGAGCACGTATTTCGAGCAATTTAGTCTGTCGTAAAAGGGAGTAAGTTTTTGTTCATTTAAATTTACGAAAAGGAGTGTATGTGATTTGGCTAAATGGGTTGGAAATAAAAGAGAGTATGTTATTGAATTATTCTGGTTGAAATAAAAGTGAGTATGTGCGAAAATAGTTAATATATTTAAAATTTTTCCATCCCATTGTAACAGGCACGCAGAATCAGCAACAATAAATCTCTTTGTATATAAATACATACACAATCCTATTTCACAATAGCACGTAAAGGGCAACGGGTGAGTGAAGCGAACGGAGTCTGTGTTGTCGTCACAGGCGCACATAAACAACCATACGTATCAAACACGAATGAACATGATCTGTGCGCTTGATGTGTTCGTTTATGTGTATTTTGACTCACGCAACTGTGTAGCTGCATCTGCGCGCCTATTACATGCGAATGATATTTTCATCCAAAAATATTAATTAATTTAACTACTTTCATACTTTTTTTTCAAATGTGAGTTGACAAATACTAACTCTCTTTTATTATGAACAAATTCAGTAAAATTACATACTCCCCTTTTGCTAAATTCATGTGGCCAACAAACTTACTCTCTTTTAAGTCAGACTAAATACCTCAAACTACATACTCTCTTTTATAAATTTTTAAATGTGATGCGACTTACTCCTCTTTTGCTATTAACATAATGGACAAAAGACATACTCTCGTTTTAAAATATTTTCAGCTCAAAAATGACATATGGACACTCGCCCAAATGTCGGACTATTTGTTTGAATTTTCAACTTCAATTTAATATTTAACATTTTTGATTTCATGAAAAAATATCACTTTATACACAATTCGATGCAGAATTTAATTGTGCTTCATTTCACGTTTCTCAAAAGATAGTAATTTCCAAAAATGTATTATTTTTTTTCCATTTTTTCGTCATAACATCGAAAATTCCAAATGTCGGATATTCGTCGTCCAATTCTCGGCTCCCTAATCTCGACATATTTCATGCATTTTCACTACGAAACTTGTAAACTTTAAGTTTTGACAGCCCATGAACGCACTATTTACATTGAGGTAAACAATACAAAATATTGGAGTTAAAGTTATTAGATTGATATATTTTTGCTCCATATTTTATTTTACTTATTTTTCTATAGTAAAGTGGCAAAAATATTTAAAAATATTACGTTAGTTCACTGATCTAGAATATTTTTGGTTTGAATTTCACAATGATCCAAATACGACTTTAACTGTCACATCTGTCAAATCCAAAGTGTTTCACTTGAAACTTCGGTGCTTTATGTGTCGGCAATTGGACGATTTATTCCGGAATAATATTACAGTGAAAAATGAAAAATAAATATAATTGTTTTTCTTTATATTTTCAAAATTTCTGTTCAATAATTAAATTAAACTATCTACAATTCGCCGATATAAATTTTTTTCCAAACTAGTTATTTTTTCATTTAAAAAAACGCATTTTACCGGCTTGTCTCAAAATGACATAGTTTAACTTTTGACGTGAAAAAGTGATAAAAATGCCGAATTTTTTTTGAACGTAATTTGTGAAAGCAATAATAGATTTTTGATTAAAATTTGGATTATAATAAAGAGATTTGATATTGATCTTTCATAATTTACTTTTAAAAATGCAATTCAAATGAATTTTCAATTTTACTTTTCCGCACACCTAGTGTAGGGAAGGTATTGTATTAGGCCAAAAAATTAAAGTCATCCCAAAACATGTTTTCGATGCATATTTCATGTAGAAAACACGATTGGAGATGATTTTGGGGCATATTAATGTGCGTCGTTGTGTGTGATGTGTCCTGTGTCCTGTGACCTGTGTCCTGTGTCCTGTGTCCTGTGTCCTGTGTCCTGTGTCCTGTGTCCTGTGTCCTGTGTCCTGTGGCGTGTTGCCAAAATTTGTTAACTCGATAAATCTTCTTCCAAAAACTCAATTCAAAATCTGACTTTTCAGGATGATTTGGGACCACTAGGAGACGTGCTGATTAGTTTTTGAGCAATATCTGTTGACCGGTGTAATTTTTTTTGGTCCGAATGGAGTACCCACAATCCATACATTTTTTGATAATTTCTCAACCATTTTGGTGACACGATGGTTTCGTGCTCAGACATGAAATTCAAAATCTGACTTTACCGAATGATTGGGCACTACGAGGAATAGATCTGGTCAAATTTTCAACGACATTGATTGACCGGTGTAAAATTTAGACTCTGAAGAGGCACTTATGAGAAAAATGCCTTAAAATAATTTATTATTTCAATTTGAACGCTGAAAGAATGTGTAGTGGGGGGTTTTTTGGCACGAGAAACCTGAATCTGATGTTAGTTTTAAGATGCAATCAATTTTTCACAGACTTTTCATACAAAAATCCACAAAACATTTCATTTTTGTATGAAAGACTTGCCTTTGTGGTACCGTAATGATGTGAAACTTTGAACAGGCTATTTTTTTGATTGAAATTTCTTTAAACTTGGTGTGATTATTTATTTTGATAAGAAAATAATATTCACAAGTTTTCACGTTGATTCAAGTTACTGCAACCATACATAGACCATAATTTCAGTTTATCCCCAAAATTTCGGTTCCATGCGGAAAAGTCAGCTTGCGTACGTAAGCCTCTTTATTTAATTTCAATTCACCTCTCGGTATTCCGACATTTGGTCGTGTGTCGACATTTGGCAATCTACTGTACTCTCTTCTCGATATTTTCGATAGATAGGTAATTCGTCTACATATTCGAATTCAAATTTTCATTACCAATAATGGTATAATTTTCGATACAACGATAATGCATTTGCATTGAAATTTCTTCAACATTTCAGAATCAATTTTTTACTTTTCCGCACACACCTAGTGTGTAAGGTAAAGTATTGGAATCGGTCGAAAAATTAACACTCATAAAAAATGTGTTTTCTGGGTGTTTTTGGGGCCAGGGAACACGAATCTAGCGTTTTTTCGATGTCCGAATGTATGTGCGTACCCTGTACCCTGTACCCTGTACCCTGTACCCTGTACCCTGTACCCTGTACCCTGTACGCTGTACCCTGTACGCAAAAATTTGTTAACACGATAACTTTCAAACAAGAAAAGTAATTCAAAATCTGACTTCACAGGATGATTGGGGGTGCCGAGGAATAGAAACCATTAGATTTTGAGCGACTTTGGTTGACAGGGTAAAGTGTCATGTCTGGTGTGATGCCCATGTCCATCCATGGGAAAAATTCAATTTTTCTTCCAAAAGTGATATTTAATGTATTCTTAAACACTCAAAAATGTGTATTGGGGGGTTTTTGGGTACGAGAAAACCGAATATGACGTTAGTTTTGCGATACAAATAACTTTCAACACACTTTTCATACAAAAATTTCAAAAAATTTGGATTTTTGTATGGAAGCCATGCCTGTATGATATCGTAATGAGCTGAAACTTTGCACAGGTTATTTTTATCACACATAAATAC